TATTTCATGGTAACTGTGGGGGGTCCAAATTAATATTTTTTTAATGTGAGGGTGACACGTCCCCTTCACATATATTGATGCGATGCCTATGTAATACATGTATCTTTACTGACTGGCTATGGTGGATTTTTAGTATCTGATGTTTTACAGTAAAGTAGTCCCTCTTTTATAGCAGGGGTTACATTCCACACCCCCCCCGAGATAGGTGAATATCCGTGAAGTAGGAATGTTACATTTATTTTAGTATTTATATATATTTTAAGGCTTTTTAAACCCATCCCACACTCTTGCAATGTTCTTAACAATGTTCTAAACTCTTAAACCTACGTAATTTTAACAACATGCGTATATGTATTGTACAGTACTGCAAAATTTTATATGGGTATTCACTAGTGAAGATACTACAACTTGAAGGACAAGTTCAGCTTCAGGATTATTTGCGACTTTTCTGCCAGTTCTGTGAGTTAATAGATCGATCGTTACTTCTGACTTTGCGCTGCAAAACTATTTTTACCACATCGATTTCTCCATTAGTGTTTGCTCCCTCCATTGCTGTTCTTTGAATTTCAACATAAAGCAGCGGCCGAAAGCACTGTTGGCTTCTGGGCCGTGTAGTTCTTTTGACTTGCGTTACAGTATAAGCTTATTGAAAGAAAACTTCAAAATGGCAGTGCCTGTCTGAATTATTATTTTTTTGTTTTGTTTTGATTTTTTGTCCTGTTTGTTGGTTCCATCCGCTCCCGTTAATTTTTATCCCGTACTGTCCCAATCACGTGAGTAATATTAAAGTTGACAATCGCGCGTTGTGCACAATCTTACGTCGAAAACCCGCAAAAGAGTAAGTCTGCGAAAGTCTAACTGCGAAGTATCGAGGGACTACTGTATAATGAAAAATCAGGACTTCTGTATGCTCTTAACACAGACTACAGTCTCTAAATGTGACTCTGCCCGCCAACTTAGACACAGTTCTGAGCATTTCCTGTGATTGAAATATTTCCTAAAATGTCTGGATTTATTCAGGGAAAAATCAGAGAAATCTCAGGGAATTTTGTTTATTTGAAATGTTGGAAATGCTGATTTTGTACCACTTGTTCTGGAGTCGGGTCGCGGGGGCATCAGCTTGAGCCGGGAGGTCCTGCCATCTCCCTCCACAGCCAGGGTTTTCTCCCAGTCGGACATACCCAAAGCACCCCACTGTGCAGGCGTCCAGGGGGCATCCTTGCCAAATGCTCAGCTCCCTTTTCACCACAACGGACCAGCACAAAGTACGTAATACTGAAAAAGCTTCACCTGTGTTTGTCAATCTCACTTCCCGTTCTTCCCATACTTGTGAAAAAAGCCAGAAGCAGTGCCTCACTTCTGGCTCCTAACCCGGAGAAAACAGTGCACATTTACTGACCGGGGATCACGACCTCTGAAACATGGGTGCTAATTATTTCACACATTTATTTATTAATTTTTCCTCTGCACCTGTGGGATGTTGCACCTAGAAAATTATTGTTTCTTATTGAGTTGGAGGCAGGATTTATTCATTTTTATTGTTCCACGCTTGTGATCTGACGTAAAGTTTTAGATGCTACATCAATAGTTGTAGTAATGACATTAGTAGTAATTTTATTATTCATTTAAACTGCTTTAAGGCGTTTCTAAATGCAATTAATGTAGTTGGCAAAATAGATATTTTGATAGGAGCCTTACCCAAGTAATTTATTACTGATTGATTTTATCTGTAATGTTACTTTATAAGTGCTTTTATCCTTAAAAATCTTTCTTAAGCTCTTAAAAATGTTAGTTTCAGTTTACAGGGTTGCAGGTTTAGGTGAATTCTTTTCTTATTACATGGAAGCAAAATGTTACAACTTTCAAAGCAGCAGGAGTCTTACTAATGCATGAAAATGTTTGTAAATGTATCACTTTTTTTTTTATATAAATTCGTTTTATTACAATATAGAAAAATATTGGACTGGCAATATTTGTCTTTTATTGAACATATTTCAAACTAACTGTGATGGACTTGCAACCTGTCCAGGGTGTACTCCGCCCCTCGCACAGTGACTGCTGGACATGGGCACCAGTGACCCCCGTGACCCAAAATGGAAGAAGCGGGTAAAAAGATAATAGATGGAATGGATGGACTTCAAATTACCAATAATTTCTTATTAAAAATTAAAGCCACATAAAAATTAAAAGCCATATTTGTGAGGGCTAAGGCTGATTAGCTGAGGCAGCCATCTTAGATTGGTTTGACTCCAAAAGTTCAATCACTTGTTGGGGGTACTTGTTGAGTTTCATTGAAATTCATCCAGTGGTTCATGAGATATTTTGCTAACAGACAAATGGAATTAACACCAACACAATGTTAAAGTTTAAATCATAGATGTTTCGCTAATAAGCATATGTTGGGGATGAAGCTCAACTACTATCACTCAACATCTGCAAAATTGAGTTATTGACATTTTTGTTTTCTCTGTGGTCAGTTAGCTTTGGTGGCCATTTTGAATTGTGTTGATTATTGATTGGTTGATGAAAGTCAAAGATTCATGGGATGTTTTGCTAATGGTACAGACAAACAAACACACAGACCTCGAGAAAAAAACTTTATCACCCTCTTGCAATAAATATAAATATTTCCTTTAGTGTGTCCATGCTCCTCATTTCAATAAACAAATCTTTTCCCACGTTTCACTTAAGCCAAAACATAAAAAAAAAAATCTTTGTCATTCCACCACCGAAGAGCTTTTTGTTGAGATAAGTACACATTTGCTTGTCCTGAAATGCCACAGCTGTGTTTATCTAACCTCAGCCAGCGAGTCTTTAAAAGGCACCACACGAGATGAAGTTGCTATTTTACACTTTCTGGCTCGGCTGAGGCTTTGTGGGACACTTTTCTTAGTTTCACTGTCTGGCTCTTCTTTCTGGACTAGCTCCAAAGTGTTTCTGGTGAGCGGACACAGCTGCACCGACAGCTGGATACGCGATACATTTATGGACGTTTGGACGTCTTACGAACAATGAACCGATTATTTGTCTTCGAGGGGTTCGTTTCAGGTTCTAGGCCTGAAAGCCAGCAGGTAGTGGTTTGCAATTATCATTCTTCTGTCATACCAAACCACTTTGCTACCTGTTGAGTTCGCTGAGGCACAGACGCATCGCAGCCTCTCTAATTAGGATTTAACCACAGTTCCCATGACTGGTACACTACACGACTCTGGTGGGGGGGAACTCCAGCAAATTTACGGGAAGAATCATAAAACTGTAAAACCAGACTACCAGGAAACTATGGGACCGAACCTACACTTATGGACTCCATCATCAATTAATATAGCTGCAGAAGTGAACTTACTCATCTTCTTATTGTGCCAGTTCCTGGCTCGTAAATTATCAGCGGGATTTCATCAGCATACATTCCCATTGAAGCTCTGATGAGTAATTACACGTGGCTGCGGCCCTGCTTCAAACGAGATCGTTGATATCTGGCACAAGTCAAGATGCGTGTGGAAGTTAACTCTTTACATCGTGGAGCTTCTGTATTTGTGAAAGGGGATAAGGCCGTGGTCTGCAACCTTTTGCCTCTTCCTTCACTAAATAAAATGTCCAGAGCCGCAAAACTTCCTGCAACTGGGATTATCAACTGGAGGCTGTGGGCCACTTTGAGTCTGTTGGAGGTTTTGTTTGTTTTCGGCCAAAAATAAATAATGAATTTTAATATTTATTGTAATTTTTATGTTCTAGGACAAAAGAAAAGATACATTTATGTAAAGCAGAAAAAAAGAGAAGTAATACTATTTTGATAAGAATTAAATCACTGAACTCTGCGGGTCGATGTGAGTCCTTTTGTGGAGAAATTCTTTAAGGTTCCCCTTTGAATTAATAAAGCATAAGTTTAAAGTGTCTAAGAATTAGGCCATTTTGTTGGATATGAAATTGTGGCTTATTGAATTTTTAACCTTAATTATGTTTTATTTTTGAAATCTCCTTAATGTGACTCATAATATTTATTCTAAGCAGCATGGCTTAAAATAATCCAATAATATTAATAATCCTATAACCCAATCCAATAATCTAAGATAAGTCTTAACATGTTTCACTCCTCGTATTATTATTATCGTTCACATATTTGCAGAAAATAGACAGAAAAGCTGCTAAAATTCACCTTTGCTGTTGTGGGTATAAAAACCAATTAAATTAAATTTCACGTTAGTTTTGATCAACGCTTGAAAGAGCCACAAACAAGAGACTAAAGAGCCACATGTGGCTGCTGACAGTAACAGTATTTTTATAACTCTATTTTAATTTTAATTGCTTTTTATTGTTGTATATTGTTGTCTGTCTAAAACTGATCTCTTGAAAATGAGTCCTCGTGACTCAGTGAGAATACCTGTAAAAAAAAGTTTACGTAAATAAAACTAAAACCTTTGTTTCAGGCTGAAATGGCATTTAAAAGAGTAACTTATTCATTGTGAACGAAAATATTAAAGCACAGTATTTTTAAGCAGTTAAGTAAAGCGTTCCACCCCGTCCCAAGGAACACTTTTGTCTTAAACTTGGCGAATTTTCTGTAGAAGTAAAAGGATTGTTTTTGAAGACACACCTGTTGGAAATGCTTGATGTAAAGCTACCTTTATATTAAACTTTGAAATTAGAAGAAAAAATTATGTTTTAGTTACTAGGATCACTAGATGTGTCTTCGTGGACTTAATTTTATGTTTACTTTCACTTTTATTTAGTCTAAGTGCATTGTAATCCATTTTGGCAGGACGGGCCACATATTTTCCATGAATCATTTAGGTTTGCTTTCTGTTTCCAACAGCGTTCGAGTGATGACTGACCAAGCAGCACCGAAAGAGATCCTGCAGAACATGCCATCAGCTGCCAATCCATCGAGCTTCGTCACGTTTGTGTGCTAAATAATCCCATGGAAGGTTTTATCCCCGATGGATTACTAAAACTGCTTGAAGAAGATCATTGATTTTCCTGGCGAGCTCTTGGTGGTAGAGGGGAGCTGGCATGTGGCCCCCTGACCTTGGGCCTCCAGATGTGCAGCTGACTTATCCTGGTTTTGGCAGTGTGTTTGAGGATCTCCAAGATCTTCGGGCCTCTGGGGGCTTCTGCCAACCTCATTCAGGAGGCCTGTGCTCCCTTACTAGAACCTCGCTGGGATGTGACCTCCACTCCCCGCGCAGCTGCAAGACAGCAGAGCCTCACATTGTGAAGATCGTGGAGGACTTTGTCACCACAGCTCAAACTGACCCAAAAACCTGCACCAAGAGGGTCAGCTGCAACCCTCAGCCTTCCATTCCAGTTTCCTACATGTTCACGAGCTGTGCCAAATCTCCATCTTTTGAATCTTCACCTTCCTCCCTTTCTTCCTCCTCCTCCTCATCTCTTCTTCTTACCCCTGGCTTGCCTCTTTCTGATGAATTCCCCCAGCAGCAACAGAACCTACAGGAGGAGTACCGCCGCATAAAACAAGAACCTCCAGACGATTTGTTGCCGTGCAAAAGGGAGCCGTTTCAAGCGAACCATCAGCAGGGGGAGCTGTTTCTTCTGGGCCAACCTCCTCAGGACAGAAACCAGTCCCCTCTTCGTGGTCCCAGACCTGCAGGACAAGACCTGCCGCCAGACCAGCATGAGCAGTCGTGTCACTGGATCGACTGCAGCGTCGCCTACAGCAGCCAGGAGGAGCTGGTGAGGCACATCGAGAAGGTGCACATCGACCAGCGGAAAGGGGAGGAGTTTGCGTGTTTCTGGACCGGATGTGTGCGGCGGCACAAACCCTTCAACGCTCGTTACAAACTGCTCATCCACATGAGGGTCCATTCTGGAGAAAAACCCAATAAATGCATGGTGAGTTGCTTTTACCTAGTCATAAAATTAAAATAAGAAACTTTATCAATTTTTAAATGCTGACAGCATGAATAACTCAATATAAAAAATGTGACAACAATTTAATGTACATAATTTTTCTATAAGACAAAAAAGTATTTGCTTGCGTTTCACACATTGAATGACCAAGAAAATTCAGAAACCATGATTCAGCTTCTTAGAACTATTTCAAATTTACTCCACTTTTAAATTATAGATTTAACTTTATAAAACAATCAGATCAAAGCTTAATCCTTAATTGTGTGAATGTGGTTAGGATGGCATAGGTTATTTAAATTAGTTGAGTCAGAATTTCAGCTACATTTAAAAAAAACAAAAGTCCTTTCAATTTTTTGGGACTTCTTTGCTTGTGTTTTGAAGCTGAGAACTACCATAATTGCTGGTGTATAAAATAATTAAAGGTTTAATAAATAAGCCACTACTTTTTTCTCACACTTTGGACTCCACAGCTTATACACAGTAGCAGCTGAACTATGAACTTTTTTTACATTTCAATGTTTTATTTTACTTTTTTATTTTGACAGGCTGCTGAGCTTCCTGCCACCAATTAACATTTTCCTTTGATACACCTAGGCATTCATATAGCTGCCCAACACACCCCTGTTAGGGATGGATTTTTGTGACCCAAACAGAGTGAATGCCACAGGTACTCATGACATGTACATCTCGCTCATGGTTCCAGTTTTGCTACTAAATACCCATATATCCACTCTGTGGTCATGTGACCAGAATCTAATCTGAATGATCATGGTATATAAAAAGCTAAAAATTATATTTGTGACCTGTGCTGGAAAAAAAGTTGGAATAAACACAGGCTGCAGTGCAAACAACATAAATAAACATAAAAATGAGTCAATTAAATACACTATCTAAAGATCCCAGAAACTAAAATAGCACATAATCTCTAATCTACCTTTATATTAAAGTTTGTGTAACAGAAATGTCTTCATAAACAATATTTTTTCTTGTAATACATACAATTTAATCTGAAACTGACCATTTTTCTCTGCCAGAAATCCCTACGTATAATGTTTGGTGTCAAGGTAAAGATTGAGGATTCCCCTTTTTAAACAAAAGTGCTGACATTTCCAAAAACATCACTCCAGACCAATGAAAAAAATCTAAATTATATACCGGCGTGCCTGTAAAAAAAACAGTTTGTTGCCATGCCAGGTAATAAATCGTCAAGTTTCAACAATGAACCATTTTATAGGTTTTGAAATGGAGAATTTAAAAATGGCAATAATTAAATGTAGAAAAATTCCTCATTGTGACTTTTAGCCAGCACGGGTCATTTTTGTTTGAATTGTTGTTTAATTATTAGTTATCACTTAGGATTAAATAGGATAAAAGACAGTCATAATCAAATTTTGATAATGTTTTAATTTTAAAGGTACTCTTTGCAAAGTATGAAATCAAACATAAAACACATCCTGAATTATATCAAATGGTGCAGTTTGAAAATGTTTACTCGGGTAGTTTTCCACAAATATTGATAACATGCTTGAGTTTGGTTTGTGGGAGAAAACTGGAGCCACCGGTAAAAACCCTCTGAGAGGATGGGGAGACAACTGGGGTCATGAAGTGAGTCTTCTGTTGTTCCACCAGTTCAAGCAGGGTCTAAAAAAGTTTAAGAAAAAGATTTTCCACATTCACATAGCTGACTGTCATCACCTCTAATACTGCTCCTCCAATACTCCAACGTCCCTGCTCAGCCCCAACACACCAGATTTGTTTTTAAAAAATCGACAAGATGAAGACAAACTCAAACCGACTGTTATTTACTCATGATTTAGATTAATAATTCATTTTTTCACTCAGGGACACACACTTGCTGTGTAATTGAATTAGCCCAAAAAGTCTGTGTCTCGCGACGCTGCCAGCTCATTAACCATGGAGAGTTGCCTGTGAACAGATTTCTATTAAATCAACCCTAAATATTAGTCACTGGTCACACTTGAACTACTTGAGTAACACTATTTCATTTTCATAAAACGCTCGGAGCTGAACATGTGGGTGAAGTCACTCTTAGTGCTGCAATGGAAAATGAGTATTTCACTTGAATGTAGTCAGTGTTCATTAATGAACTCAACCTTATTTACCAGCTTGTAACGTCCGCAGGTGTTTTTCAGGCTGTAAACACAAAGTGTCTTTATACCCATCATGGTTGAGATGCAGTGACGTTTTTATGTTCAATACAAGGCCAGAACCAAAAATCATCCCAGCTGCATTTTCTTTTCTGCTAAAACCCAATAATTTATTTTTCTGTCTTGTTATAAAGACCCATTGTTGTTTAAAAACTCGTGAAAATTCTCCCTAAAGTTATTCATTTTTCAGTTTTTTCTCATAACATGACAGCGTTATTAGTAAGTGCCCCCAAATGAAATAAAACCTACAGTGTCAACAGAAACAAGTTATATTATTGTCTAAACTATGTCGACTCAGGGAGGCGATGGATGAGGACGATGACGCTTTACCGTATTCAGCGTTGTAATTTGAAGCTCCATAAAGCACCAACAAAATATTAATGTTTTGAAGCTTAAATATTTTGCTAACGTTAGCAAGGGCTAAGGAAGTCTTTGATAAAAAATTGTGTTTTTGCTGAAATTCTCAGTCATCATGACATACACCAAATGCACAAAAGTTTTATTTGTCCCCAAAGAGCGAAGAGGCGGAATTGGAAATACCCTCTGTTTGTCAATGTTGTTAGCACGATAACTTGAAAAATAAGAGGGGTACGGACTTTCATTTAGGTGTGTGGCTGCATCTAGGTGTAAGAAAGGTTGCTTTTGAAAATCGGGTTGCCATGTCAAGATCCAAGATCGCTGCCACTGCACATGTGTATACAGTAGTCCCTCGCTACTTCGCGGTTCATTTGTAACGGACTCATTCTATCGCAGTTTTTCAAAATAAGATTGGACATGACACACAATTGGCTGATTGGCATTGATTTTTTTATTTAAAATAAATTATTTAGCACCTCCTGCACCTTTGTGCAGCCCATACTGCAGGATAAACTTCCTGCTGCAGCTGATCAGCTGTTCTCGGTGCAGAGCAGAGAAATAGGCGTGGCCAAGAGCGCTTGCAGGTGACTTGAGAGCATCAGAGGCAGAGAGCTGAAATCATGACATTCTGTGCTCTTTTAGTGCTTTAGAGTTTAGAAACATTGTTTAGAATATTACAAGAGTGTGGGAAGGGTTTAAATACTTTTATATATATATATATATATATATATATATATATATATATATATATATCTATATATATATATATATAAATACTAAAATAAACTACTACTTACTACTTGTGCGGTTTTTCACTTATCGCGGGGCTTCATGGTACGGATCCCCCATGATGATCAATGGACTACTGTATTTGCAGCGCTGCCTAGACACATCATCGCTGCCATACTGGACAGGTCAACAGACCAGAACCGTAATCCAATCCCAGTGGAGAACCAGACTCTGAGCAGAGCAAACCTGCGTCTGAATTGAACCAGAACTTTAGAAGAAGAAATACCTTCTTTCTCATTCAGAACTAATATTTTTTCACCTGCGGATTATCCCCTCCACCCACGATGCTTTGCGTGATTCATTGCACCTACTTCCGGTTGTTTTTTTTTTGTTTGTTTTTTTTTTTTTAGCTGGGATCGAAATGTGTGGAGACATCGCCTGTCCTCTGGTGGGACAGTTAAAGTGGACATGTCCCTTATGAAGCACTGTGAGGACAACACAACAGCATGCTAACTGTTAGCATTGTTAGGTTCTTCATTACAGGTCTCTCTTGAAAATGAGTCCTTGTGATCCAATGAGACCACCTGTATAAATAAAGTTTAAATAAAATAAAATATGTAATAGAGCCTGACCAATATTTAAATTTACGCTATTATCGATATTGATATTGTAGGAGGGGAAGACTAATGCCGATAACTAATATATTGGATGAATCTTTTTTTTTTTTTTTTTTTTGCTTAGTCTACCCCCAACAATCTCAGTCAGGCTAATTTTAAACCTGTTTTAACAAAAACTCTTGAAGCAGTCTTCCTAACATGCACTCACATTTTCCACCATAAAGTTATCACGTGTGCTACATAAATATAAATTAAACAAAGAAACGTCCTTCCCTGTTCATTGTTTAAGCAGTTAATCACGTATGGTGAAGGTCTAATTAATTAGTATTGACTGCAGCAGTGGAGGTTTTTTTTTCTTTGCAGAGAAGTAAAGATTTCAGACAAACAATGCATTTCATTGAGGATGACAAAGAAAACGCTAACACTGATATATTTTACTGCTACGTTAGATTTATTGTTCTGGATAAAGTTTTCCAAGGAAATAGCCTATGCTAGGTTATCTAAATGTTAGCATGCTAACTTGAGAGGCATGTGGTTAATGACAAGCGGATTGGAGGATTGAAGAGAATTTATTATTGTTGATTTTTTTAATTTTACAGATCAGTTAAAATAAACTTCCCATGCTGTCTGTTCAACAAAGTATGCTACACAGTATTTAATTGCTCCGTACTTCGCCTGTGCTGTGAGTCGTGTTCAGCATGGCCATGACTTGAAAGTAGTGCGCCCTCTTGTGGATACATTATACAATTACGCCATTTGCAAGTAATGACACAGCTCATTCCCAGCATTTTAGTGTTTATATCCGTGCATAATGGGCCAATTATCACCGACATGATATGTCCCCAAATGCCTACTCTATATCAGCCCTACAGATATATCGGTTGCGCTCTAATATGTAAGCCTTGTGAGTCAAGAAACTTGAAGCCCCACGATGCATTTATAATAGATTTCAATGAGGGCAATTTTTCCACGTAAGGAACAATAGAGGGCACTAATATAAAACAATTCTGACAAAATAAAAAAACATATGAAGGATTTTTTTAGGCTTTGTGAAGAACAGGCGTTTATTTACAACATAAAAAAATGAATACAATCCCAATCAAAAATAAATGGATGATTTTTTTTCTCCATGAGCCCTTCCAAGCTTTAGTGTAGATTGTTTGAGAGAACAAATGTGACCAAAACGTTGCTCATGTGGACCGGACCAACAGACTATAACCCTCAGGGGAACAGGAGTGATTTGCATAGGAGTTCAGCATGAATGGTGCAGCTCGTCTCTGAACGCCACACCTTTCAGTCTGTTTTTTTTCACACCTCAGCAGAAACAAAGTTACTACTAATAAAGTCTGAAGGTTTCTCACGGTTTGTGTGCTCCGACCTGCATATACGTATATATATATATATATATATATATATATATATATATATGTTTTTTTTGTTTGTTTTTTGTACAGAAGTTGTTTCAACCCTTGGATTAATTAATCACTATGATGTAGTGGGACTTTCTTCCTTTTATGTACAGACTTGTTAAAATAAATGAGGTGAGTGACATTTACAGACTCATTAGTGAGACCTAATAAAACTTGGAGCAAATGTTTGGAGGGAAAACACTTTTTAGATGAAAGCCACTCTTTCTGCCTTTTAGAGTCACACCCAAAAGACTCTTTTGACTGTAAAAAATATGATAAATATATAAATGATAAAAATCCAGCTGTCTTTTTCTTGAATGTCCAAACTATCTCTTGAAGATAATTTGTACTACTAAGCTGATTTAAAACCCGAGCCTTCACGGGGGAACTTGAGTCAGTTTCATTAATATTCTGCTTTATTGTTGAACGTGTAAATAAAAATGCTGAGACGGATTTTTGCTTCTTGTTTGGCTTCAACCCAACAGAAACACTTTAACCTACCACAGCCGGGTGTGTGTGTGATTTAGTTTTAACCGTTATAGATTTAATGTTTTTAATTGTTGACATTTTTCTTTTTTCTTCCAGCTGTCTTCAACGTCTCTCATTATACGACTTTACTACACTTTATCGGCAGCAAACGTAGCTTAAAAAATGAAGAGTCGTGTGCGAATATCAGAAAAATATTTAATTTATCACGATTAAAATTGCAGAAATTTGATATTTTTATTTTACTATTTGAATTGTGTCACTGACAGTATCATAACCAACAGCTGTGTTTAAATTATTACTTTAATTTATTTAGTCTCACAATAACAAGCTGACATATTTCTCTTTCCATTTTCTAATAATAACTGGGCTTTATGTAACTTTAAAGAAGGTGAAGTAATTTAAACTGGAACTACTAAGAGGTCTTTGCAGTCAGATTGAGTTATTTTAATAAATAAATAGTTTACATCAATAACATCTGGACTAATATAAATTAAATAAAACCAGGTCAGCAAACCTCATAATCCTTCATTTGTAATTTGGAGCATGTTTTATAAAATCTTTATTCAACATGTCTGACACCAGATTAATTAAAGCAAGGTTAGGTCTTTATGGAAATAATTTAATAATCTCTCATTTATTTATTTGTTTTCACATATGAAACATTTATTGTTGTTCATTTGTTTAACATCAAGCCTCTTAGTGAACGGCGGGCAGTAACTGAACAACCTTGTTGACTGTTAGGTTGTCTGTCTGTTAGCAAAATATCACACAAACCATTGAATTGGTTGTAATGGAAGTCCAGAGAGTAATCGTCAGGCATACATCTACAACTGATTAACTTTTGTAGTCAGCGCAGAGCAAAATGGCTAAAATTAGCAGACACAAAAATGTCTCTAACTCGGTCAGTTTAGCAGAAATTGTGCTGAAATGTGGGTGGTAGTCGCTGAGAGTTGGCCCCAAAACTAACAGATCCCAGAAGATCTTTGTTTAGAACTTCTGCCAGTGGGCAATAATCATTACTTAAAAAAAATCCTAGTTTCCTTTTTTTTTTATGTTGACTAAAATCTGTTGAAAGGTACAAATTGTTTTGTTAGCTCTCATCATAAAATCAGATCAAAACGTAGTTAAATATAAATGGGGTATATTTAACACACTTTTACAAACTGTAACACACTAAATGGTGGCTTTTGTAGTTGAAAGATTTACCCTAAAGGATTTAATTTGTTAGGCTATAACTCCAGTTATGTATTTGTTTTAGCCTTTAAAGCACTGGTTTAGCAAACTTGTTTCAAAAAAATCTCAAATTAATTCAGCTGTACGTCACAACCTTATAACGAAAATTAGTAAAACTTTAATATCCTGCAATCTTGCCATTTGTGACCCATGCTGGCAAAATGAATCCCAATGGTATTATCCTATTTTGAGTTATTTATTTATTTATTTATTTATTTTAAAATTCTTCATCCCAACAGCTTCCAAATGACGTCAGTGTTTCTTCTACCATGTCAACAGAACTGAGCACCCTGTCTACCAAACTACATCGACATCTGCCGGCACTGACGTAGTGCTAAGCTAACGGCAAACAATACAGATGCGCTAGCTGAAAGGCTACAGAGGTAGCTCTTTGTTTCCCTCATGCTGAGCCATCTCCAACCCCTAAAACTGTTGGTACCAACATCGCGCAACACAGACGTGTCTCCGTTGACAAAAATCACGGAAGATACGAGTGCCCTGCCAAGGCGAGGAAGTATGGGAAACACTGCAGGTAGTTTGTTGAAATTTGGCAATTTATCACCTGGCAACAAGCTAGTTTTGTTTACGAGACTGTCGGTTTGAAAACTCGATACTCATAGGTCTGGCATGATGTAATCAGGAATCTCAGTCGTATATCAAGTTCAAGTAGGATTTATTATCATTCGCATCACATGGTGGTACATGAGATGGAACAAAATTGTGTACACAGGGTCCCTGTTACATCTAGCGATAGCAAAAATATAAATTGTAAAAAGAAACAGTAATAAAGATCTAAGATATAATATATACAGTAATATAATAATATATATCTTATAATAATATAATCTAGTGATATAATCTAATAATATATCTTGATAAAGATATTTTCCAAGAGTAGCGCATACAGCACGTTATACGCCCCTCAACAAACTATTAAACAGCAATACAGCAATCTATAGTCCCGGACAAGCAAAGACCTTGTGACCTTGATATGTGACCTCAACCTTGAAGAAAAGATTATTCCATGCACCTTCTAGTGGCGATAGAAGCTTGTACCAAGTTTTGTTAAATTATCTTGAGCAGATCAGAAGTCATGGCAGAAAGTTTACTGACGGACGAAGACTATACCATAATTCAGAAGCTTTGGAAATTCCAAAGCTTCTGAATTTTATTTGCACTTTATTTATACAGGTAGTCTCATTGAGTCACGAGAACTCATTTTCAAGAGAGACCTGTTTGGGAGCAGATGATGGAGGTTAAGGGCCTTGCTCAAGGGCCCAGAGTGGGGCAAATGAGGGTGGAGGCAGGTGTGGGTGTTGTTCAAGTTCAAGTTGTGTTTAGTTGTCATATGCAAGGTCAACAAAAGGTTAACAGTACAATGAAATGCGTAGGATGAGAAGAACCAATTTGACTCGCTAAAAGATCAAAGAACAAGCAAACAAGAAATACTAAAAGCATGCAATAAAGGGACAAAAATAAAGTACCAATGGGTTTCACCTTTTCCACCACTATTTGATGTTGTCAGTCCAGGGAGTTGAACCTGCAACTTTCTGATCACGGGGCCATCTTCTCTAGCCTCTGCGCCATCACTCCCCAAGTATAATATAGTACAATGGTGCCAAACACTATACAATGGGATTTCCGTCACTACAGGAAAAAACAACAATATTTTCAGTTATTTGGCACTGCAGCCTGTGCTCGTTCCAACTCATTGCCAGCAAATGTCACATATTTGACGCAACTGAAGGTGATTACAGGTGTTACAAGTTATACCTAAATATAGTGACAGATGGATTTTTGTCAACAGATTCAGCCTGGCTCTTATGGAGGAACTTCTAGTCTGAATTTTGTGTTTTAGAAATGATAACAAAGACACTAGAAGATCTCAGATAAACCCATGTGAAGCTTATACAAAGTACATTTAAACAACATTAACTTTATGAATTACTGTGAAAACTTAAACTGTCAAACTTGAATTTAAATCGTTTCATTCATCTTGTTTTGGATCTTGTTTGAATTTTATTTCACGCAGTTCATTCTGGGCTTCTAGTTTTTTTAAACTGAAATACGTTTGTATAAAACAGTGTACTGATTGTACCATCCGAAACTCAAGATTTTTTATTTTTTTTTACATTCATTGATTATTTCTCTTCTTAGTTTGAGGGCTGCTCCAAGGCATTTTCTCGTCTGGAGAACCTGAAGATCCACCTGAGAAGCCACACAGGAGAGAAACCATACATCTGTCAGCACCCCGGCTGCCTGAAGGCCTTCAGCAACTCCAGTGACCGGGCCAAACACCAGCGCACACACCTGGACACGGTCAGAACATTTGCTTCTTAACTGAGAGTCTTTCTGCTTTGTGGTATTGTTGTTGTTTTCCATCCATCCATCCATTGTCTTTTACCCGCTTCTTCCATTTTGGGTCACGGGGGTCGCCGGTGCCCATGTCCAGCAATCACTGTTCAAGGGGCGGGGTACACCCTGGACAGGTCTCCAGTCCATCACAGGGCCACATAGAGACAAACGAGACAAACAACCATTCACTCTCTCACTCACACCTAGGGACAATTTAGAGTTACCAATCAGCCTAACATGCATGTTTTTGGTCTGTGGGAGGAAACCGGAGTGTCCGGAGAAAACCCACGCATGCACGGAGAGAACATGCAAACTCCACCCAGAAAGGCCCCTGGACCGGGATTTGAACCAAGGATCTGCTCGCTGAGAGGCAGCAGCTCTACCAGTTGTGCCACCGTGCTGCCCGTTTGTTGTTGTTTTGTATAATTAAATTTTAACTTTGTTTCTACCCTACACTCAACACCGAACAAGAAAGTTGCTACCAACCTAAAATTTAGCACTTTAAACAATTTTAAGATGCATATGTCACATTCTCTGTGAAGGTTGTATTTGCTTTTTGTTTTTGTTTTTTTTGAGTCAGAAATATACAGTAGACGCTCTATTAGCAGCTTTTCTCTGTACGGGTAGTTTAAAAAGTTTAATATACCTTTTGTTTTAACATTATCTTAACAAGGAACTAATATCTGATCAGTTTTACAGAGAATGTTACATCTTCCTTTTCTCTGAATGTAAACGTTTGCTATTATAAAGTTTGAAATTAGAGACATTCTAGGTTGATTTTTGTATCATAATGTTTAATACTACTACAGAGGATAGTGCTCCTTTTGGGGTGGGGTGTGGCCTACAACTTTTGCTCTCTCTTCTGCTGAAAAGGACTTAGTAGCATTCATAACACTGTTTGCCAGAAGGCTAAAACTGCTAAACCAGAAATCTGAAGCGTAAACATGATTGAATAGAGAGATCGTTTATTTTCTTAAAGTTGGAACAAACAGACTGAGGCTGGCCGGTAAGACTGGATCATTTGAAATAATCTGGAATCACTTTTTGTCCTGTTACACGTACAGGAGGTCAGATCATTTTAAACCGAGGACCATGTCTCTTGACATGTGTTTACATACACATGTACCGTATTTTCCAGACTATAAGTCACACTTTTTTCCATAGTTTGGCCAGTCCTGCGATGTATAGTCCGAAGTGACTTATTTACATTTTTTTCCTATTCATGACACAATTTTCGACTGACATGTTACATGTTCATTCATGCTAACATGAATCAAAGAGTAAACATTACCATTTGCAGCCACGAGAGGGCCCTCTAGGCTTTTGACAACTATATGCTGACAAAGGGCTACTCTAAGCGTCCTGATGGCTTCTTTAAAACACGCAACACCTTGCTCATGATGGATAGTATGCAAGCGCACATAATGCCACAGTTCAAAGATAAAATAAAAGCTTGTAACTCCATACCTGCTCAACCAAAGTAATCCAGCCTCTCGACATCTCAGTGAACCGGAGCTTTAAGGCAGCCTTGTGTCGCATGTGGGAGGAGTGGATGGTGGATGGAGAGCACAGATACACGGCAACCGGAAGGAAGCGCCATGCAACTTTCCAGCAAGCCCTTGGATGGATCGATGAAGCATGGACTTCAGTGCCAACTGAAACCATCCTGTCGGGATTCAGAAAGGCCGTAATAACCGGAACTGTCTGACGTCAGCCCCGCAGAAGAGGATACTGCACTTCATCTTCCTCCGGAGTTGGTGGAGTTGTTCAGAAGCGACACCGAGGATGAAGAAGTCGATGGATTCAGTGATGTGGAATGAGATTGGTGAATTTACCGGTAACTTGCTTGTCGGACTCGTTGGCTTGTTATGTTAATTGAGCCTGTTCAGGATCCCAGTTATGTTCTGTCTTATTGTTATTTCAGATTAAATGCCTATTCTTGCACTTTGTGAAATACACTTTTAAATAAATGCGACTTGTACTCTGAAGCGACTTATGCATGTTTTTTTTTCCTCTTCATGAGGCATTTTTTGACTGATGCGACCTGTACTCCGTAGCGACGTATAGTCCGGAAAATACGGTTTGTGTGTGTACACATATGACATTGTATGTGTCAGGATTTGTGTTTGTTTTTATCAGTTTTTTATGTTCCTTTGCAACATCATTCACTTCTCCTCAGTCAGACTGCCATTCTCACATCTTCCTTGTCTGTAATTCAGCTCAGGTGCCTCAACTTCCTCATCATCCCTGCTCAAAATATTCTGTTGGTTTTCTTTTACTCATCAGCAGAGCATTATGTGGCTTGTGCCTTGTAAATTCTCGTGCTCCTTGTGTTCTTCCTCGAGTGTTTTGTGAGTAGATTTTGCTGCCATGTCAACATTTTGTTTTTTATTAATAGTAAATAAGTTCTGTTTTTACGCTTTGTGTATAGTCTTGCCTTTCTAAATCCTAACCTCTTGCCACTGGGACAGTATCATTATATATATAGTATGTGAGACATGTTTTTGTTTTTGTTCTGACAAAAGGAATCAGAATTGGCCCAGGCTGCAGAGCAAGAAAACCAAGGCAGTGTTGATTTCTGCTGCAGTTGAGATTTGTGTCTAATGACTTCAGAACATGACCATCTAGCAACCCTAACAACTAAAATAGCAGATAGTTTTCCTGATCTATCTTTGGATCAAAGTTTTTTTTTTTAACAGGTATTTAAAAATAATGATTTGTCTTATAATCTTGAAACTGTTCGGTTTTCTCTGCCATAAATCCCTTCCTATAATGTGTGACATCATTGTGAAGCTTAGGGATTCTCATTTTTAAATGTAGGGCTGGAACTCCCATTGACTTCACTCCAGACTAATAAAAAACAATTGTTTCAAACCAGCACTCTTGTAAACAAAATTAGCTTGTTGCTAGGAAATATTGTAAATCACCAACTTTTAATAAACTACGAATAAGTTTGAAGCTTTTGAAACGGCAAATCTAAATATAAAATCTCAGTTTTGAGTAATTCATATTGTGACTCATTTTGCAGAATAGCTCCCAAAAATAGATGTTTTTATTTCTGGTAGTAATATTTTTTTCATCTTCTGTTTACACTTGACCTGCTTTAATACGTCAAATTGTAATTTATTCACTTCTTACTGCACTCATTGGTCTCCTTTTTCTTTTGTTTTCCTTTCCCCAATCTAACAGGTAGGTGCTGGGGCAGTGGTGCTTTTAAGTAAAAAGAGTTTATAAGAACAATTCAAAATGAATATTTGATTTATAAAGGTTTATTTTGTTGTTAAGTAGTTATATAGAGGTCCATAAATTATGTTAGAAAACAACTGTAGAATAATAAAAATTTATGTTTTTACATATGTCTATGCTTTTAAAGCGCCAAATATTTTACAGTCGTTAAATTAGCTGTATGTGATACTATAAAAACACATATAGTTGTATTTAAAGTACAGTTTCTCCCATTATTCCTGTTTCCTCCAGTCAGGGAAACTGTTAAATTTAATACTTTATGTGGATTTGCTCTGAAGCCCCCAGTTATTTTTACTCCTGCTGACAAGCAGCAACGATTTAGCAAAAATCCAGCGAATAAGATCTCTTATTACATGGAGCTGCATGTCGTTATTACAACAAGAGGAGAAATATATTTTCTCCCTCTTGTGGTTTCACACTGGCTAATGTTGGTTTCTCAGTTGCATCACAAATCAAGAATCAGACACATCTGGCGCCATTATAGAGGCCCAGTGGAGGACTGTCTGAATAATTGCTGAATATGGTATAACAGCCAGAGAAGACTTTAAATTCAGGTTTGATAAAAACAGAGTGGATTGTTGGACTAAAATTGAAACTTGTGGTAATGAAAATGAATGGAAATATCCATCTGCTCACTACAGACTCATGTTCGGGCTGCTGTTTGGTTTACCATATTGTTTTACATTATTAGTGTTTAGCGTACATCTTAGATCCTTGTATACTGTTTCTTTTTATACTTTATATTTTTGCTATTTTTGGCTGTAACTGGGACCTTGAGTACACAATTTCGTTCCACCTCACGTACCACATGTGATGTGATTGACAATAAAGAACCTTTTACCTGTTTCTGGTACATTTGTTGTTTCATTTCATTTATTTATTTATTTAAATTAGGACAATGCATATTCATCAACATGTCAGCGGTAAGCATCAATATAAATATTTCGGAGTTAGCACAACAGCTAATTTTCATCCATTGTCTTAAGGCAGGTAAGAACAAGAAACATCCTGCAAAACAAAGAGCAGAGAATAATATCAACATCACCTACAAGACTGAGGATGCGTATTCTTCCAAGTCTAGCGCCCCATCTTCCTTGACAGCAGCATCCCAAAATACTTGCCAGTCCATGTGTTGAAAGCAGTCCTTTAAAATAGTCACTGTGTCTTACCCACCCCTTTAATCACCTCTGTGTCTGTCTGGACCGTCTCAGCGGGGGCAGGCAAGCAGGAGCCAGAAGGATTGATATGTGACCACAGAGTCCAAGGTGGGAGCAGGGTACGGCTTTATATGCGTCTTTCACATTGGTGTAAACACGGTCCAGTGTGTTACCTCCTCGCGTTGGTATGGTGACATGCTGATAAAAACTTGGCAGTGTCTCCTTCAGATTTACGTGGTTAAAATCACCAGCCACCACATAAAAAGCCTCCGGGTGTTTATTCAGAAGCAAGCTGATGTTATTATTTACCTCCTTCAGGGTGTCTTTAGCATTAGCATCCGGAGCTATATAAACAGCTATTATAAACACCGCCGTAAACTCGCGGGGTAAATAATGTGGTAAACACTTAACTGTTAGTTGCTCTAAAGCCTCTGAGCATGTACTGTTTATCAGCGTATAGTTTGTGAACCAACTAAAATATGTAGTAAACGTACAATTTTCACATCACAAACAACAAGCACAACAGCACCTCCAAACCTGAGGTCATGGTCCTCAACCGGAAAAGGGTGGATTGCTCTCTCCAGATCAAGGGTGAGGTTCTGCCTCAAGTGGAGGAGTTCAAGTATCCCTATCTTCATCTAGTGTGACGTCTAGAGGCGGCTGAGACTCGATGCTTTCAACAGGTGTGAGCTCTGACACCTGCTTGTAACAAATATTTTGAGTAGATTTCTCTGGAATCACTTCAGCTACAGAAACAGAATTTTAATTTATTTGTAGAAGGGAAATCTTTTTGTTAGAAGTATTTTGAACAAGTTTCACGTGAATCACTCAATTCACAGGAAAAGAGTTTTGTTTCACTTCAAAGGTTCTGACGTTTGTTGTCAGGGTTTTCTCGGCGCTGTTTTCTGGTGAAGTTTCATTAATTTCTCCCTCACTGGCTGAGTCGTCAGATTCTGCCTTCCTTTGGTCCACAAGCACATTTCTAAGACCGTTTTCTACAAACGATACAAGCCTCGAAATGTTGGAAGGTTTCTTGGTGAAATTCGTCAGCAGATTTTTCAAGTAGCTGACGACTGCATCATCAAAATCAGTTACAAATATTCTCACATAAGCCATGACATTAATTTCTGAAATGTCTCGAATCTTACAAAAGTCCTTGAAGATGCACTTTGAGAGTTTCCTCAGTTTTCTTGTTGTAGAATAAAACTCCTGGCCTTGAAAATGAGGCCAGATGTCCTCTAGGAATGCATGATATATACGGTACACGGTAGAAACGATAGAAATTTAGCCTACGATAGAGATCTGTCTTCTACCGGCTAACCGCAGTAATACTGTGTCTGAAGTAAAATCAGAGTTGTCAGTTTAATCGTTACTTTTTTTGGTTGAAAACTGTGTGCAAGTGGCGTTAAAGTCTTTTTTTCGAGAGCTAAGTAGCAAAGCTACAAGCTAACTACAGCTGGCTTGCCGTATTCTGACGCATGCGCAAAACGCTGTTCCATCAAAAAAAAAAAATTTTTTCCAATTGAAAGTTAAAGTAAGCGTTGGTCAGCTTTAGAGAAACCTGCTCTCTGATCTGTGAAAAAAACGCTGTGTTGTGTGATTTTACTGCGAGACCCTCTGGTCAAAGCCACAGATTCATTTTGTGTCAGCTCTCCATTAAATCGGAAGGAGTCGCCCACTAGAGGGTTGGAGGGTGAAGTGTTTCAGTGTAAAATGCTGCTCTGTTGCTGTTCATTTATTAAGTAAGACTGGAAACTGTTAAGAGTTAACATATTTTTTTGTTTAAAACATAAGGCTAAAACTGCATTTGATATCTTTTGCACTGTTTTGCACTACAAGCAAGAAGCCTAATACTTGATTTGTTTATTATTTAAAAACTCTCTGGATCTAGCAGTGGAATTTTCTTAATTCAAAATATATGATGGCAAAAGGACACCCTATGCTTTTTTTTTTAGCAAGTTTTATACCAAAAACATATCGCGATATATATCGTTATTGCCACCCTTCACAATACATATCGTGATATGAATTTTATGCCATATCGCACTTTCCTAATGTCCTCATAATACCTCTTGTAGTGGGACTCGAAAGTTTCTGGAAAGCATCTTTGATTTGATTGCTTTATGGCTTGAGCAATAAACAATTTAATAATCACACCCAGGAAAATTTAACAACCATTTGGTTTTTTGGAATAAACTCGTTTAACATCTTCTAGATTCTGCAGAAGCTCTTTTGTGTCCAACTCCAGTTCTTTTGGCTGGTGGCTTGTTCCAACGTCACAGGGAAGATGAGCTCCATCGTATAGTTTTTTTTATTCGTGGTGACATCATTACGCCGCTGTTACATCATTGCGTCACGTGATCCGCACCGGGCACTGGTTACAAAATGGATTCCTCCAAGCAAACGGATGGAGCAGAGCAGACCCAGTTTTGGCAAACAGGTAGAAATGCATCAATAATATGGAAATATTTCACTAAAGATGAATCTTCTGGTTCAAGTACCGTAAGGAAACAGATTATGAAACCACTTCCTGACTGTTTGGAGCGCGTTGCGAACCGGTGTTACACCATATTTTATGACCACCGTATATTGTGACCATAGGGGGCGGTGTTGCATGCACTGTTGCAGGTCACAGAATGTGGTGTAACACCGGGTCCAATCGACCGAACCAGAACCAGCTTCCTCTGACCTTGTTTCATAAAACAAAAAGCAAAAAATATTAATCTCTAAACCTATAAAATACCTATAAACATATTAATCTCTAAAACTAAACTTAATGCACAACACAGCTGGCGGTGGTGCGGGGTGGTCGACACCCCCCCACCCACACACACACACACACACACACACACACTGTTTTTAGTTTTGTTTTTGACGTGCCGCACGTTTTTTCACGTTTGCAGCTTAATAAAAAAAATTATAGTTTAGTTTTTCCTGTGACTTATTTGCTGTATGATAACTGGTAGGAGCATAATATATGCTCCCAATGGTTTGTTGGTCTTTTTTTTGTGTGTGTAAATAATTACCTTTTTTGTGGTTTTATTTATTTATTTATTTTTGTATCTTTAGATCCTATGATGTCATCAAGTACTCGAGTTCTACTCGAGTTTTATTATGTTAATGTTGAGTTTAAAAATTATGTAGTTGTTCAACCCCTAATATATATATATATATATATATATATATATATATATATATATATATATATATATATATATATATATATGGAGCTAATGCTTTTAGCTCCAGGGCTAAAGCTAATTCGTTTACATCTGGAGCTAAAGCTATATATAAGCTCTGGAGCAAATGATAAAGTATATAATAAGATAAGATAGAACTTTATTGATCCTGCATGAATATCGCTGGAGATAACATTAGTATTAGTATAAATTTCAAGAGAAATTAAAACGGCAGTTTCTTAATGGATACCTGTAAGAAATTTTCTATTTAAAAGCAGATTAGGAAGATGATATATTATTATATTAGTTGACAGGATATGTCTTTATGGTCTCACTGAATCTCAGTTACAAGAAAAATCACGTTCATGGTTTTTTTTGCGAAGCAGTCATTGTTCATTCAGACTCATTTTGTCAGCGTGAGACACAAATATATATATTTAATAATACAAACTGTCAGAGAATGAAATGTAACTGTACGAGTTGATTAAACTTGTTCTGTTCAATATTCTTCTCTTTTTTTAAAGTTTTAGAACATTTTTTATGTAATTCTACCTGAATTACTTTTTATAATTAAAAAAAAAACAACTGATAACATTTCTTCAAATATTAGTGTCTGCCACTAATTTAACAGTGAGTTTGTTTCTGATTTTCAAAAGTCCTTCCAACATCTGTCTCTGTTTTTACATTTATGTGCAGCATATTTATCACACAAACACAAACCTACTGATAAATCATGTTTTCAGGAAACTTGTCTCTTGTTACACACTCTGTACTGACAACAGGACAAAGTCTGAGGAATAAAATTATTGATAATTTTTTTTTTCTAATCACAGAGCTCTGATCAGTAAGTAAAAAAGTACTTTATACTTCCTGCTTTTTATATAATCAGTGTAAAATTTATACAGGTGGTCGATTTTTCCCGAGGAGCATTTTTATTAAGTTTAGAGACCTTTTGAGGGATAAATGTAAATCTCAGTAAGGTAAATTCTGTTGTTTTACTTACATGCAGATGCATAATGTTCATTTACAAATATTTTTTATTTACCGTATTTCTGTATTCCTCTTTTTTCTTGTCTTTAAGCTTTCAGATGAAAGGTAAATATGCTTAATTTTTAACTGAGGAACAACTTGAGCATCTGCAAAATTGATGAATGTTTTAATAGACAGTGTGGATGTGACTCTGCTGAGCTTACATTGAGCCATGCTGTTATTTGTTAACGTTGTGTTTAGCATTGTACAGATTTCTCTTTATTCATACTCATGTTCTGATTGCTTTATAGTCTGGGTTTAGCACATTTTGACCTACCTCACGTCAAGAAGATGATATAAATTTTAGGATAGAGAAAAGAAAGGTCAGAGTTTAGTCTGTGCCTCATCAGGAACCACAATCTCAAAACATGTTTTTTAAAAGTCATTTTTGTACATTTTTACCTGTAAAATGCACATTTACTCAGTTATAGGCCAAGTAACAAAGCAGTTACATGAAAAAATAACTAAGTTTTTATTGAAAGGGAGTGGGAAAAGGTTATTTTCTTCCATTCAATCTTATCTGTTTTTGTTGTTGTTTGGTTTACAGAAGCCGTACGCCTGTCAGGTCCCAGGATGCACCAAGCGTTACACCGATCCCAGCTCGTTACGAAAACACGTCAAGGCTCATTCTACCAAAGGCCTGCAAGACAAGGAGATCAAGGTACCCGCAACTCAGACCTTACATGATAAACGTGTAATTTATGCTGCTAAATTAATCAGAATGAGCACAGGCTGCGGTGCAAAAAAGAAAAATAAATGAGTCTGTAAAGATGCCATCTGGCAATCCCAGTAACTAAAACAGCAAATAATTATCTAATCTACTTTGAAATTAAAGTTTTCTAACATCCATGCCTTCAGAAAAAATCCTTAACATTTGAATCCTTGGGCAGGACGGTGGCGCAACTGGTAGAGCTGCTGCCTCTCAGCGAGCAGGTCCTTGGTTCAAATCCCGGTCCAGGGATCTTTCTGGGTGGAGTTTGCATCTTCTCTCCGTGCTGCGTGGGTTTTCTCCGGGTACTCCGGTTTCCACCCACAGACCAACAACATGTGTGTTAGGCTGATTGGTAACTCTAAATTGTCTCTAGGTGTGAGTGAGAGAGTTTGTCTCGTTTGTCTCTATGTGTCCCTGTGATGGACTGGAGACCCGTCCAGGGTGTACCCCGCCCCTCGCACAGTGATTGCTGGACATGGGCACTGGCGACCCTCGTTACCCAAAAATGGAAGAAGCGGGTAAAAGATAATGGATTGATGGATTTTTGGGCGCCGTGTACGACATAAAATTGTTTCGAGGTCAGTAAGCACAACCAGAACTAATACATAAGGCGCACTGGATAATAAGGCTCACTGTCGATTTTTGAGAAAATTCAAGTATTTTAAGTGAGCCTCATAGTTTGAAAAATACGGTACTTTTATTACAGTAGCTGAACCTTTTAACCAAATATAAAAAAATAACATCTTTAAATATCTGCTATGTCTAATTGTTGCTTCGTTCTGGGGCGGTTGGGATGTTCTGTCAGCAGGAACATTCGGTGTTAACTGCTCAGAAACCAGCTTTTATAAACAAACATGTGTGATTGATTTGTTTGTTTTAGTTCAGTAAACAAGCAGGGCCATTTATTTAGATGCTGGCCTTCAGCCCAAACAGAACATCTGCTGTAACATTAAAGACTTCCAGATGAAAACAGAAAAGTTGAACACTGGATCCAGAGCCCTGTAAAGAGAGAGTTGCGACACTCTTTGAACTCGCCGATACGCGGTCACGTGGTTCATGCAGCTCCCCATAGTTCCAAAAAGCTCATTGCTGTCAGTCAGTTTGAGCAGCTGCTGGCGCAACATAACACAAAAATCGACTTTTCTTACTTTACCTGACGTCTTTCAGTAATTATTGAGCAGTAACGAACTGATTACTTAACTGATTACTGATTATTTCACAGACTATGCATTTTATCAAAGCATTTTTAGAAGCAGCTGATACATTTATCATTAAATTTTAGAAGGAAACGAGACTGCAAACACATATTTGTTAGAAAAATAATGTCTATGCAATACAATGATCAATATAGCCATGTCAGTGTTTTATAACGTTAAAAAAAGATCAGAGTAACACCTGTTATAAAGCTGTTTCTGATGTTCTCTGCAGGATAATGCTCCACCTTGTCCTCCATGCAGCAGTTCATATCTGCTCCAGCTTCCCTCAGATCATCTGGATGAATTATTGATTTCTATCGAAGATATTAATTCAACCTTTAATTAAACAGGTTCGTCCCATTGAGCCACGAGGACTCATTTACAAGAGAGACCTGAATATAATTGTTGTATTTGTCGTTTTTTATGGCAACCAAGTACCTGATAACGGAGTTGATTGTAGCCTGACAACTATTGTAAAATTGTAATTCATTGATTAAAATGTTAATTTAAATGAAACTGTTTCTAGTTAAAATCATAACAGATGACAAAATAAGTGTTAACTGTGCAAAAATAAATTTCCAAACAATTTATTATAAAATATGTAAAATGTAAAGCAAGCTTTAATAAAGTACTTTTACTGACATTTATACTGTTTATTAATGACATCATCTCAAGTCAGCAGGAGCACCATCATCATCATCACAACAACACAAAGTGAGAGCTGTAAATTTAATCTGCACAAACATTTTCAATCAGGGCTCAAAATGTTGAACTGTCAAAGAAACTAATGTCATTCTACAGGCACATTTAGAGAGAGGACAGTTCACAGAGACACAGTGAGGACGTGTGAGACTGAAGGAGGTTCAACCATTTGTTCATGGACCAGAACCAGATGAGAAGAACAGCAGAACTTCCACTGACCAGTGATCTGACCAGTGATCTGACCAGTGATCACACATGTTGTTCTAAATTAAACTTTGGTACGAACAGTGTTAAATAAGACATGTCATATTTTTATTGAACAATAATCTTCATTCTAACAGTGACGTAATTTCAGAGACTGAGGAAGAAACAGAAATGAGGCGAGTGAGATGAGAGACAGATGAAAATGTGTCCTCAGAGGACGGGGACATGTCAGGATCTGATGATCCAGGATCAACAGGACCAGGAGGATGAATCAACAGGACCAGGAGGATGGATCAACAGGCAGTCAGGGAACAGAGAAGAAAAACCTGAGGGAACAATTAGAACACAAAAACATACATAAACAGGACAGAAGAAACTCACAGACAAGAAAATTAACTCAGTCCTGTGAAGAAAAATGTTAATGGAAAATAAATTGACATATTTTTACAAAAGATCAGATGAAGACAACTGGCATGAAGAATAACTTCCAGCTCCATCTCAATGTACCTGTGATAGTTTAATAAGTGTTTTGTTACTGTCCTACAGTTTATTGATGCTGATTTATTCTTGTAATAATTCTTATTTCTTGTTCTGTCTTGAAAGAGTCTCATCTCAACTTGACCCATGATTACCAAACACTAAACTAATAATATAAAACTAATGTAAATGAACAGTCCTGCAGTAAATACCAACTTTGTGAAGGTTATGGTGTTAAAGTAATTTTATTCAAACATCTTGATTCAGCTGTTATTGATTAATAGAAGACAGAAAATGAGATCTTGTACCTTTGTGATACTTTGAATGCAACATTCAGTTCATGAAGTCATTCTCCTCTGGTTTACCTGGAAAACATGAAAAAAATTGACTCATCTCCACAATCACGTTTTTCTTTAATGATAATGTCACAATTTATGCTGCAGTCTTTGACAAATGATCTATAACTTTAACTAAATTACTTCAGTCTTGTTGTCATGTTGTCATCATTCTTTGTTGAAATCAGTCTCTCTTGTAAATGAGTCCTCGAGGCTCAATGAGATTAACCTGTAGAAATAAAGGTTGAACGAATCTCTCAGGAAAAAAGACCAAATATTTTCTAGTTGAGTTCAGTAACTGGAATTACCATAAATTTTAAAAAGACCACCTTTCAAAATGTAAGCAGTAATAGATATTTTAAAACGTTGAATTAGAAATAGACCCGTTTAAACCGTCATGTTGCAGAGCAGCTGCAGTTAAAACACAACTAGTAATTTAACACGTTTCATTAACTAAAACTGGCGACATGAAGTATTAATGTTGATAAATTGTGGTACAGAACAGTCAGATAACGCTTCACAATGGCAAAAAAGTGTCGTATTTGCATCAACTTACCGGGAAAACACGGAGAATGTACTACGTTCAATGCTGAACCCGCTGCTGTTTGGAACTCTTTGCCGCTTCATGACCCACGTGACTTCCGCATTCCATTCTTTCTATGGGAGTCTATGGGAGTGTCGCAACTCTCTCTTTACAGGGCTCTGACTGGATCATGTCTGGAAAAAAAAAGTCAACATTTGGTTTATTGGCAAGTGAAACCATTCAGATTATTCAGGTTAAACCTCAAGGCTGACAATGGTTTATATTTACTTTACCTTTCTCTGAGGGAACAAAAGAGTTCTTTAAAAGGTAAAGATCCTGATTTTATTTTTATAATTCAGTAGTATGAAACAAACAAAATCTGATCAAAACTCTGAATAGTGAGCCTATTGTTACAGCCTGTTATCTGGGCTTTGTTTGTTTCATTTGGACCATGAGTGACACTGAATGGATTATTGGTTTAAACAGAACAACGTGTGTTTCTGTGTTAGGACACAGCCAACACGCCCTTCACTGCAGTATACCCTCTGGGGCTAAATAAGACTGAAATACACACTTCACAAAGCTTACGTGACTCTGCTGTTGAAGCTTGCATCTTCATAAACACAGTTCAGGCAAATATTCCTGGCTGGTGATGTGAATGTGGTTCTTTGGCAGCCTCTGTGAGCATCCTCTGTCAGTAAAATGTCTCAGAAAGTCCTCTGGGACTCCCCATTAGCCGTTAGCGGTGGATAATAAAGTAAATTGTCCTGCTTTAACTTTGTTTGAATATTTTGGAATAACACGATTTTGGGAATTAGTTTCTCAAGAAGCTCACTAAATGAGAAACAGGCATTTTATATTTGAGTTAAAGGCTAAGGGTTGCCTAAAGGAATGCACATCGCCTTCCATCTTTCATGTTTTAGACTAAGCTCGTCTTTTGTTGAGGAGTTGAAGCTGTTTTGGTTGAAACTTAAAAATGTCATGTGCAGTCTAATCATGTATCGTGCGATGTAACGCTCAATTTTTTTGTTGAGGATGGCTCTCAGCTACTACCACACAAATTTTAGCTCAATATTTGCCAAACTGACTGAGTTAAAGCCCATTAAATTTAGTGAATGATGCCTTTTTAATCTGTATGCCTTTTTATAACTGTCTGTTGTTGTAGCTGTTGTCCACTGTTGTCATCATTCTTTTTTTTACATTAGGTCTCTCTTGTAAATGAGTCCTCGAGGCTCAATGGGATTAACCTGTCTAAATAAAGGTTGAATGATAAAATATTTTGCTAACAGACAATCAGTGTTGACTTTCTATAGTGACTTGCTGAAGTGTTGACTTGGTAATGGTATTAATCAGAATCAGCGTTATTGTCATTGCACCGAAGCACAACGAAATTTCTTCTTTTTTTTAAACAGCATAATAATAATAATAATAATACTTTATTTATAAAGCCCTTTAAAACAACCACAGCTGCCACAAAGTGCTGTACATATACTGAGATAAATTTTAATTATGCTGATACACAGTTATATTTGTCCATGAAACCCAATGAATTCAATCAGCTACTTAGACTAGAAGCATGTCTTAAAGACATAAAAACCTTGTTGATCCTAAATTTTCTGCTTTTGAACACAGACAAGACTGAGGTTTTAGTTTTTGGACCTGAGCATCTTAGGAGTAAGTTTTTCAGTTTTTCACCCTCCTTAGATGTCATTAATCTGGCCTCCAGCTCTAATGTTAAAAATCTTGGTGTTATTTTTGATCAGGACATGTCTTTTATCCCCCACATTAAAAACTTTACTAGAACTGCCTTCTTCCACCTGCGTAATATCACTAAAATTAGAAACTTCTTATCTAAAAATTATGCAGAAAAACTGGATCATGCATTTGTCACATCTAGACTGGACTATTGCAATGGTTTGTTATCTGGGTGTCCAAATACTTCTTTAAAACAAACAAAAAAAAAACTTTGACCCCTCAGTCGTTTCCAACTTCCAGCCTGTCTTCAAACTCCCATTTGTTTCTAAACTACTGGAGAAAACAGTTGAGTCCCAGTTGAAGTGCTTCCTGGAGGATCAGGCCATCTTAGAGCTATTCCAATCTGGCTTTAAACTTCTCCACAGCACTGAAACTGCCCTATTGAAGGTTTTTAATGACATCTTCAGATCCACAGATACTGGTGATTCTGTGCTGCTTGTCCTGTTTGACCTCACAGCTGCCTTTGACACCATCGACCATGAGATCCTCATTACTAGGTTGGAGCAGTGGGTGGGCATCACTGGGTCAGCCCTCAATTGGTTCAGAACCCACCTCACTGACAGATCCTTTTGTGTCTCCATCAAGGATTTTAGTTCTGCAGCAACAGAGCTTAAATGGGGGGTTCCACAGGGGTCCATCCTGGGTCCCCTCCTATTCTCTCTATACCTGCTGCCACTTGGTGCTATTTTCCGGAAACACAACATGCCCTTTCACTTCTACGCCGACGACTGTCAAATTTACTTCCCCCTAAGACACAATGGTACATACTCTATTCAACCTCTGGTCGACTGCCTGGCTGACATCAGGGACTGGATGGCTTTAAACTTCTTAAGTTTCAATGAAAAGAAGTCTGAAGTCATGTTGTTCCCTCCCAATGACACAATCACAAACCACTGCATCGACCTTTCCACTCTATCCCTGTCAGAAAAACAAAGATTCACTAATCTGGGAGTGATAATGGACCCTTCCCTGAAACTTAACAGTCATGTATTTCTTCCAACTGAGGCGGCTGTCTAAACTGAAGCCCATATTGTCCAAAAATAACCTGGAGACAGTAATATATGCATTCATTACATCTAGGCTTGATTACTGCAATTCACTCCTGTTTGGTATCAGTCAGACCTCCATTGTATGACTACAACTGGTCCAGAATGCAGCAGCCCAATTTTTAACCAGTACAGGCAAAAGAGAGCACATTACACCAGTTTTGGCCTCACTGCACTGGCTACCAGTTCACCTTCAAATCCAGTTCAAAGTACTCCTGTATGTCTACAAATCGCTGAACAGTTTCGAGCTAAGATGTTAAAATAATCCAAATACTTCTTGACTTGGGAATGTATTAATTTTTCTAAAACCTTAACAAGAATACAGAGTTTAGAGATTGGTCGATAGCTGCTCAATATGGTGGGGTCACCTCCTATCAGCAAAGGTAGAACAAACGCTGTTTTCCAGACATTTGGAATGGTATTTTGGCTTTTGGAGAGATTAAAGATGTGAGACACAAAGCTTTCCAAGTTCAGTTGTAGAGGTATATCCAATAATTAATAAAATAAAACTATTCCCATTTCACCTTTGGTAGCAAGCAATAAAAATTAAAGTAGAGCATTCCCTGCCAAAATAAACTAGTGTTTTCCGTATATTACGAAAATAAGTTTTGTTAAAACGGCCTCAACACAGAAATACCAAAAGTGATCATAAATAAAGATATCCTAATGAATGTGTTTTTTGTCTTGTTGCCAGACCAACGGTCACACCTTGCTGGAATCGGACGTCTTGAGTGATTGTTTGGCACGGCAGCACCTCCACAGCTCGCCTTTACCAGCCTTAGACGACTTTGCAGGTACGAAACGGTAGCAAACTATGGCGTTTATTCTCCGACACCTCTCTGGAAAAACAGAGAGAAGTTGTCCCGGCAGGCACACCTGGGCCGTTAAGCTGTCTCTTCTTGTTTCTCCCCACATGGCCTCACTCGCTCCCTTGTCCTTTCATTCCTCCTAAGAAAACTCATCCTGCTTGTGTTTACCTCGTCCAATTACCGGGCACCGGCTGTGGGCAGCTTTGGCTCTCGCTCCGCCCATCCTTCTGTTCCTCCCAGCCAAACATGTTATTTTTTTCCCTCTCTCCCTTTCAATGGCTGAACTTGGATCAAGAAGCTGTCAGGAATATTGAAGTTGGGTTGGCGAAAGAGAGGCGAGCGCGTCCAGGAGAGCTGTCCACGTCCATTACTTCAGACTACTTTTTGCATTTTTGTATTTCGAGGACTCAGAGGGAAAAGCCTCAAACGGCGCACAACAAGCTCTGTTTATTCAGGGAAAAACAAGCATGTCAGTGTTTAATTTAGAAAATATCCCAAGAGGTCTCTTTTCCCTTATCAAAAACATTAAAGCCTAACATCTTATTTTTTTACTAAACTGTGTATTTTTCTTGTTTAGCGAGGACATATGGGCTTATTGTAAACTGTTGAGAGCCCTGCTTATGATATAAACAGCAATTTAAAAAAAGATGTTGGCCTTTATTTATTTAGAAAATGTGGACAATTTTATGAGGAAACAGGCTAAAAATGTCTTAATATTCCTAAATATTCATACAGTAATTACGTCATTGTTTCACTGATCAAAGCATAACAAAAAAGAAGCTTGTTAACACTACAGCGCTCTGCCCTGCTTAAAATAAACTAAAGTTAATAATTGTGGCGTAAAAGCCTCGGTTAACACAGTTTTAAGATGTCTGCGATGTCATTTAATCAATTAGCACGTAAAACGATAGACCTGAAGTTAAACTAGGAATTAATTATGTCACAAAGTTTTGTCACAAAAAGTACCAAAAAGAAAACTTCCAATGTTTTAAAATGGCTGACAGGAGCAGCTGCTGCTTTTTAGCAAAAATCAAGCTACGAACTAAAAATACCAAAACACCAATATTTTAAAGGCTAGATAAAAGATACAAAATCTGACAAGTGTCAAAGGCGTAGCTAGAAGCTAATAGTAGCAAAAAAGCTAACCAATCTCTAAAAGACTAGATAATAGGAGCAATACACTAGCTAACAGCTAATACTAGATTGTTGCTAAAAAACAAATTTTGCAAAGGCTAGCTAAAATCTAAAAGTAGCAAACTGGTAGCTAGTTGCTAAAAAATCAAAGGCTACTGAAAAATAAGAAAGCAAGCTAAAAATAGAAAAACTGTTAAAAACTAAAATAACCAAAATTGTAGATAGAAGCTAAAACTAGTTTTTTGAATGTCCAGAGGACCAGATTTAACTTTTTTAGATTTTTCTACCTGGATTATTGAGCATGCATCAGGCTAAAACTAGAAACAACAACAAAAATTGGATTGAAATTAACACTAGCTAAATAGTAGCTAGAAGTTAAAGATAGGAAATGCAAGCTAAAATCTGACAGTAGCAAAATGCTAGCTAACAACTAGTAGTAGTAAAACACTAAATTAAAGCAAAAAATTGCTGCATGCTATCAAAAAGGACCAAAACACCAGCTAATATCTAAAACTAGCTAAATGGTGGCTAGAAGCTGAAAGTCCCAAAGGTTAGCTAAAATATAAAAGTATCAAAATAGTAGCTAGCAGCTTAAAAAAGAAACAAAAGACTACCTAAAAAAAAAAAAGGCAGAAGGCTTTTAACATAGCTAGAAGCTAAAAGTAGCAAAATACTTGTTAAAAGAGAGAAACGCTGGATAAAAATTAAAACTAGCTAAATGTAAGCTAGAAGATTAAATTAGTAAAAGCAAATTCAAATCTGAAAGTAGCAAAATACTAAACAAAATAATAGTAGCTGTTTTCATTGTGCTCAGTGTTTTCAGTGTGTACAGTAGTCCCTCGTTTATCGCAGGGATCCGTACCCTGAAGACCTGCGATAAGTGAAAAACTGCGAAGTAGGAATATTAGTACAAGTAGTAGTTCATTTTAGTGTGTGTGTTTATATATACAGTATA